AAAAAAAAAACAACATACATAGTTATATGTATCCATCCTGAAAATTCTCAGTGAATTAGCATTTTGACTCAATGCATTTGAGACACATGAATTCCGATTCCAAAGAAGAGTAAACACAAGATAATAATGTTTCAGGCTTAAAACACCAACTTCAGGTTAGATGTTAGTAGAGCTGCTGAAGAGATATCATACCACTCAGTCTGGATAACGTAGCAGGAGACAGAAAGTAAACATCTTTACAAAAAATGTCACAATTTTACTCTTTATATCTATAAATATTGCCCACTGTTTGCAGTCTGAAATAACTAAAACTGTCAATTCAAAATGTCAGAAAATGTCTAATATAAACAACATGAATACATACAAGTACAGTACTATTAAGTATGGTGTCTTCATCTCACACAATCTGCACTATACATTGTGCCTGATGGTGAACATGCATCTACAGGGCTGTGTGATTCAAATACCTTATACTAGTACATTTCTAAATGGAAAAATAACTGTGGCCATTCAATATGGACACCATAATTGAAAATTCAGTGAACACACTAATGGACACATTTACTAAGTTCTACTACACAGTATTTCCCCACAATATCATATTATCTCTTATACCCCTTATATATCTTATCATAAAGGCAAAGATTATTCAATGTACTATACCTCATCCTAACCTTACAAACTAAACTGAAGGAATAGAAGTGACATACATGTAACTTCTGTGGTGGGTAATGTGGGAGGGGAAAAACTCTCGTATAGATGACAGTGCTTATCAAACTCTTCCACATTTTGAGACAAAATAAATTTCTTGTCTAAAAAAATCAATAATCAATAACAGTTTTAGAGTAGTCATCAACAGCATTCCAATGTTTCCCTAACAGTGCACCATGCCACAATAAGCACATGCATATTAACATAATTAAAAAATATATATCATTCACAATGCTGATACAAAAAATATACATATTTTATAGCGAATCTGACTGAAGGATTGTCAATAACAGCAGTGAAATATACTAGTATACATATTTGATGAAGTGTGACAAACTTCGATCAGTGTCTTTATAAAAACCATAACATAGATATGTGCCTTGCAGACAGCGGTGACAGTGAGGTATCCATTATACCTTCATGTCCGCTTGTTCTACAGCATACTGAGAAGCTTTTCGTATAAGAGGTCTGAACTTTGTAGCTTTCTCATCCTACAACAGCAGAAAATGTGCTGTATACACAGCTATAACAAGAGAGTTATTGAATAAACACAATCAGCATGAAAACTGAAGAAAGGAATGATGATCTTCAAGTTCAACAAAAATTCAAAATAGAGAAGTACAAAGCAGTAGCACAGAACAGTTACTATGTATATAGACAGAAACATGCAGGTGAAGAACATGGTCTCACCACTACACCTTCCCTCTCATGTTCACGCTTCCCCTCCTCAATCTCCTGCTGGAACCGTGAACTTTTGACCTGTTGTGTGCGAACAATTCCCTTAAACTCCTGCTGCTGAACCATAGCCAGCATTTCCTGCTCTTTGCGTAACCGCTTCATTTTCTCCCTTTCTCTCTCCTGCAGTTGTGAGCAGCATGTAACACAGATACGACTATGGTAGTGAAGCAATCACCAATACATTGATAAGACTAAGTAGATTTAACCATAGTAATTTATTTTTGTTTACCTCTATCATACTGTGAAACATATAGTCTGGTAAACATCAATTAAAGACAACATTTTATTGCACAATATATTTCTAAGGAACTGCTATATATAAGATCCTTTACAAAAGTTACACAATAAATCAGTATCTAAATAAACAGAAAATGACATACTAACAAAGTAACAAAAATTTATGTTTAAAAATCAGTGATTGTTTTTTAAAAACAGCAATAAATAAATGTAATAGCAGTGCAGTGTAAATCTTTATCAGAAAACTGTGCATGCATGTGCCAGTGTATGAAAGCAATGCTGCTCCAAAATATAATATGCAGTTTAAAACAAGTAATTAATTATAAGTCTGTGCAGTTTGCAAAGAGAGAAAAACTGACCGCCTGCATTTGTTTCTTGAGATTCTGAATGTAATTCATCTTTAGCAGCAAAAAATAAGAACATTTAGTTTAACTGTAACAGGCAAAAATAGGTCAGGTTATCTTAATATATACACCTGATCAATTACACAATCCCACCTTGACATGATCATATTCGACTAAAATGACAGTAATGCACCACAATCTGTATGGTACAAAGTCATATCCATCAAATGATTATTGGCAAAAATGCATTAATTCAAAGAGCTACCATATTGCTCAGAAATACCTGTTCTTTCAGTCTTTCCTTCTGTTGTTTTTCTCTTTCTTGAAGTGTCAGCAGTTCTTCCTGCATCTTAGTCATGCTTTCTTCATGCTCTTGTTTGGTTTGCAAAATTTCCTCCTCTTTTTCCTCTGCAATTAAAATCTGAGTATAAAGTCTAAATCATAAAATGACACTCATTTGTCTCAGTAATTTTGGTTGATATTTTAAAAACAAATTTCAAATTTGAATTAATATATAACTGTATTTCAGCAAACCAAACCTTGATCTCTCTTTGCTTGCTCCTCGGTTTTCTTCCTTTCCTCAGCTTCTTTTTTAGTTTCTTGTTCTTGTTGTTTGAGTCTTGAAATAGCATCCTGATGACGGGCTTCTACAATGTTAAAGATGCATATTATGTAAGTGCTTACATGACATTACATTATTTCTAGTGAATGATATTTGCACAGATATTTTTACTTACTTTGTGCTTTATGGACTACAATAAAAATAAGTCAATTAAACCAGAAATATGAAGAAGGTGCAGTTTGAAAGCACTTTTCTCTGCTGCCCAAGAGATTTTTTTGGCATTTGGATTCTCTGTGAGTTGTGTTAAAAACTGGTCCTAATAATTCATACAAGTGCATTCACTCTCCCTTCTTATTTATCTAAAAAAATTACTAACAAATGAGTCCCTGCAGTAAGTAACTTTGGAGAATACACATTCAAAACCATTATTCAACAAACAGTTCAAATAAAGATCTTCTCCTTCCAATCTAGCTATCTAATATACAGATATTTGAAAATGCCTTTACCCTTTTCTCGTAGTTTTCTTTCCATTGTTTCTCTTTTTCTTTCAGTTTCTAGTAATTTGCTGAAAACAACAACAGAGAACAGTACAACAGTATATCTCGGAAATGTATGAAAACATGCATACATCTATGAGGCAAAAATGAACTCCATATAAAAGAAACAAATGTCATAAACCATGCTGTGTACATGTTTCAGTAATCACAAGCTATGAGGATGTACATAGCAGCAGTATGAAGAAAATTCACATTAAGATCACTCAAATGAAGAACATTAAGTTCAAATTTTGTATTTTGTAACAAAACCCAATAAATTATCAGATAAGCTTAATATTCACTTAATTTCCAGGAGAAATTTTTTATTTTGAGCAGTACAAGCAAGCATGCCACAAGACAATGTGCATAAGGAATATCCAAAGTCCTGCTTACCACACAAGAGCTAAGCTGCAGGAAAAACAGAAGCAACAAAACATGCTTTTAACTTTGAAGTTAATTTCACTGAAGATATTTTAAAACATTTGTCATCTTGTAAAGATTGTAATGATGTTTACAGACAATGTCAATTTTTTAACGTAAAAAATATATTCTTTTCTTTACAGAAATTCCACGACAAAAAATGTTAGTTGGGCGCTAAGATCCATTTCATGTTTTACTTTTTATGTTTTGCCTACTTACTGTTCTCTTTCCTTTCTTTCAATTTTTTCTCTTTCTCTCTGAATGGCCATCTCTTTCATTTCTAGCAGACGCTCTCTCTCGCGCAGCTCTTCTGTTGACAGGACTGGAGAGTTGGGACGGAATAGATCTGCACCCTGGGAAACATTACATATATAAATAATAATTTTCTTTTAGCAATATAATAATATCATTAATCCATATGTCCCACTCTGCTGGAAAAATATTTAAAACGTTTGGGGTTTTAAACATTGTTATATTAGATGGGTATCAGAGGGATACAGACAAGCGTGGAGGAATAACTTAGGACTTACAGCTCCCTTCCTGATGATGAACTCCAACTGTCGGCTGCCCTTGAGTGCCACTACGGCCTGAAATATGACAAAATGAAAAAATTATATCACTTGGAAAAATAAATACATAAATCTTAAAAATATACAAGCTAACCACAACATTAACAACATTCCTGTGGCAATAATGTTAAAAGTTCCTAATTAGTCAGTTCCTAATTTAGTGAAAACAAAAATTCATTATTTTCATTTATACATTTCTTTCCGTACCTCCCCATGGGATATCCCAAAAAAGCTGGTTCCATTGACATTGATGATCTGATCTCCGACCTCCAGCCCTGCCTCCTCTGCCAGGCTCCCCTGCTTTATAGACTGGATAAATATACCTGGGTGTTCAGGGGGACCACTGCAAATACTGGAACACAACCACAGCTCTCACTATAGGAAACTTCTCAGTACAATTTCACTTCACATTTGCCATGAAAATATCTATTTTCTATACAGATATTCAATTTTAACTCCAGCTGGTAGGATAAGGTCAATAAATGTTGACTGAATTGCTCATATTGAAGAAAATAACTGCTACCTATAGTATATGAAGTAGAATATTTATATATCAATTATAATAAACATAAGCTAACAAGTACCTGCAGCCCAGACCCATTCCTACAGGGATATGTATAAACAACTTCACATCCCTCTGGTCCAACAGATAGGTCCTGGCATATGCATCCTCAAGGACATGTTGCTGAAATTATCGAGGAAAAGATAAAAAATGTTCTCCTCTAAGCTTTTAAAATTTTGTTCATTGTTTTAATACTTCAAAGAACATATAAAATTTGTATTAATTGAAATTTTATTTTTTATTTAAAGAATATTTTCAAACAAAAGTTGGGTTTGTTCTGTTAAATTTAATGACATTGAAATTTTGTCTTCGTTTTGAACATCACAAACTAATTCATTTAATTTACATGACAAAAGTGACAGAGACATGGTGGCTCCACCTACCAGAGCCTTTCCAGAGTCAAGTCTGTCCACAAACTGCCATCTTACAAAGTCATCACCCCGGCTATGAAATAAAAGATAAAACTAAGAATTAAAATCAGAAAAAAATATGTCGGTGACAAAATGAATTACAATTAGTTACACCTGGTATAAAAAACTGAAATTAGCTTTCTTGGATCAGAATCAAACATCTGCACTTACTCTTTGGATGGAAGCATTCCTATATCTGGAAGATAAAAATAAGGATTTGTTACAAAAGAGTCATGAACAATAGCATTTACACTTTTCAATTTTAACAATTCTTTTTTTATTTTAAAACATGAAACTTTACAAAATATTTCAATTCCAGGTCACTTGAATAGTGAAGTATGCCAAAGTGCAAGCAACATCATGAGACTTCCTTATCTCTTTAAACTATTTTCTATTATGTTATTACAATACTGTTCATACTTACATCTGACTTTCAGAACGATCTGACTCTTTGCCTTCAGCAAGTTCAGCACCTCATCATGGATGGCCTGCTCAATGGTGAATCCATTCACTCTCACTATCTGGTCTCCAACCTGAACAGACAGTACATTACATGATACAAGTACATTGCAGGATTTACAGGTGATTAAGATATGATATGTTTATGGAAAGGAAAACTACTTGGATCTTTTTTTATATTGACACATCTTATAAATTCAACCCGAGTACATGGTAACAAGCTTGAATGTGGCTTTGGATCTCCAGGGGACACAAATTGTATCTTTAATATGTTTGATATACTCACCCTGAGTCCCTGGTGGTAGGCTTGTGACTCTGGATCAACATGGGACACATACACCCCTATACCGTGCTCTAAACCTAAAAGTGGATGGATGACATATGAAATATATATACAGTAATAACACATTACTGATGTAACCTACCAAAATAATGGGGAAAAAAACAGGGGGCAATTTAAAATACTTTCTACACAAAAAGGAAATTGAAATTCAATTATTTGTAAGTGGAGGAATGCATTTCTATATAAATCATGCTTTTATCTTCCCCAATGGGAAACTTCTGAATAAAATATGAAGTTGTGTAATTTTCTACCTCAGAAGTGTTCCCTTGCATGCCATAGGGTGGAAAATTAGGTATATATTTATATATAGAAATACCACAAGTCAGTGTTAGATTGCTCAAGTCATTGAACCTTACCCCCTCTCACTGCAAATCCTAGACTTTCATTTGCTCTTCTTTTCAATCGAATCACCCTGATTTTCCCATAGACAGCAGGTGGCAACATACGCTCGTAGTCCAGCTGGTGTTTCACTGGAATCAGTGGCCTGAAATACAGTGAGACGTGTTAATAGAAAATACTCGTCTGAAGTGTTTTTAATGTACCTAACAATGATACAAGCAGGCACAATGGCAGTCTGGTTCTAGATGATCCCCATTAAAAAGCAGTCTTTTAACAATGATAACATGCAATTGTGGAACCTTTGCAGGGGCAGCAACACAAAACTAGAACAACATCTTAGAGATGTGACACTGGATATTTTCTAATGACAACTATGACATTTTTCCAATGGAATTATAAACATGCATCTTAGAGAGATCTACACAAAACTTCATTTTTATATAATGCTGACAAAAACAGTCCTCCATTTTGTTTGGTATATGGGATTTTTGCACCAAAACTACTTTTGCAAGAGGAAAAAAAGCAATTTTTTTCTCCTACTTATGAATTATGACTTGACCCGCCCCTGCACTTGGATTTGATGTTTTGCACAGTTTCTAATTTTAAAAAATAGCTTAGTTCTAAATGAATCATGATGTTTTAATTACCCATTTTGAGATAACAGAAGAAAATGCCAACATCAGGTAAAAGATAAAAAAAACTTTGCAGGACATACATTTACAGACATAAAAAGTAAGACTTTGGGACATTTTCATATGCATTTAGAATAGCTTTAAAGTTGTCTTTTGAATTACCTGCCACATGTAAATACAGGTATTATGTCATAAAACAATACAGCATGTCACATAAATTGTATCTTTAAATCACCTCTGTGCCATCCTAGACATAATTGCAAGTTCTTAAGAGTCACCTGGCTTTCACAGGTATGTATTCATGAGGGAAAGGTGGAATTAATTCAAATCAATTATATGGTAATTTATTCTGAGAATTCTGTAAATGAAAGAAGCAAAGCCACGGAAAAATCAATAATCCTCATACATACCAGAAAGACCACTGAGCAATAAACATATTATTAATTCAAAAGACAACACAGCCTCTGATTGAGAGGTAGACCACTTTGCACATATTTACAAAAAATTACATCAATTGCAGTTTAATGTGATATGATGGTACTTATGAACACTTTGTTAGACCAATATCAACATCTCATTATTTCAAGTTAATTTGATGACATAAAAATTAATATTTTAGCACATTTTTATTATTTTTGTTTGGTTGCAGACATGAACTGAACAAAAAGATCAAAATTTATGAGGACATAGACTTAAGTTGACCCTAAATTTGTGAAGTACTGGTAACCCCATATAATGGTGGGCCCTTGTTGAGAGCAAATGATCTCAAATCAATAAGATTCAGGTTCCTATATCCTGAAAGTGCACTTTACCGCCTTATTTGAACATTATGCCTTGTGAATTATACGTCTATGAAAGTAGACTTGCCCACATGGCACAAGTTGATGAATATATGTCATCACTTACCGTCTATCTAACTTAGGCTCACACAAATAAAACCGACGTACACTGAATGGGTCCATAGCTCATGGCAAAGTGAGTTTTGATTCTCCACAAGTACAAGGTTTTCAAAGAAAAAAAAACTTCAATGCAGCCCTGCACTTAACATCCCTACATGCTGTCATTTAAAGTCTAAGAACCCACAAAAAATAATGTGCTGGAGACAGGTCTCCAGGCAATGAAACCATCCAGATCTTCCTTTCTGCCACTATTTAAGCTGGCCTACCAACACTATATATCCTATGAAAAGCTGAAACCCAAAACAACAACCAATGGCCTCTGCCTTGGCTCCCATGGGACACAAGGAATCGATATGACCAGAATTCATAATGTGAGTTTTGCCTGACACTAGAGGTAAAGTAAAACCAGTAAATTTATCACGTAGAGAAAGCAGGCAAGCTCAAATTTCTGAATCCAACTCATCACTGTGGTAGAATCAAGATACAGCAGGGAGTAGCAACCATCAATTTATGATTAAAAAAGTCAACAGACCCATTTCTTTTCTTTTTTTCTTGTTTTTTTATTTTGTGTTTGTGTGTTTGGGGAGGGGAGGGGGAGCACAACCACAACAATTACAGCTATTTTAAAACTGGACATTTTATGGTATTTTGTTATTTTTAATCTTGAAAATAATTTCAAAATATCCTGGCATGTTACAGCTTCTTTCAGCTAATAAGCTTATAAGTGCCACTGCTAAAAGTTGTACTTTAACTGAAAGTGGAAATGCAAAGAATGCATAAATGCTCTGAAATCCAGCAGACAAAAGTTCGTTCTAAAATGCATGCCTCTGAATTAGAAGAAAGCACACGGTTTTAGTCTGAAGGTGATCTGTGAAAAAGCATCAGTAAGTACTGGAATTACTTGTGTTTAAGAAAAGGCCTATTTAATTTAATATCTAGACAACTGGGTTAACAACATTAAATTTTCAAAATACATGTGTTGTGTCTACAATGAATTATATATGAAATAGATAACATCCAGGTTTCAGGTATAAGTTGGATGTTCAATTTCTACTGGTATTTACTTACAAGTATCAATAAATGATGAAAGCAACATAGGGTATGGAAATGCATAGTAAAAAAAGGTGACTGGACTAAGACATCAGCTTTTTACTGAACATGTAGAAAGGTAAAGTGCATCCAGCACTTCTATCAGAGAAAAAAAAAAGGCAGATGATATCACTGACTACCTGAGGGCTTCATATATGCTCATTTTTCCAGGAGTGTTCACCAAGTTACGGAGATCCTCCATTAGCTGCTTCAAGTCCAATGAACTGACAAATAAAATAATATTAATAATGTTAACAAGATATTCCTTCAGTTCTACAATCTTATTTCTTTCTTTCTCCACTGCAATTCAAAGAACTATTTGTCAACATTTTTAATTTACAAATTTACTGACAACTACAAAATTAATATTTTCATGGTCACTTACTGTTGGTATTCCCTAAGACTCTGAAACAGAGCTTCCCTCTCAGACAAATCATCAATGAGAGCATGAACCTGAAATACAGGGATGGAATTCTTCAAAAGCAGTGCAGAACCTCATAGTTATAAAGTTATAAAGCATATGTTACTAAAATAAGAATAATTTGTCATTGCTCTCAGAGGAAGCTTAACAATATACTGAGCCTGCGTTAATTTTAAATATAAGAAGTAGAAAAAGAGAGATAATAAGAAAAGGAAACTAGAGGATCAGAGAGGCGATACCGCCTCCGAATATTGTACCACCAGCTGGAGCAAGCGCATTCGTATAGACCCCCACATACACAAAGTAAGGGACACAGCCACCAGTTTTGTGCTTGACAAGCTGTAAAAATGCAATCAACAAGAATTTTTAAACTATTGCAAAAAATATATATGGTACAATCAAATTTAAGTTCTTTGTAAGATAGGTCAAGGGTCAATTTCAAGGTCACAGTAAATTGCCAGTATATGACTTCCTATTCAAGTTCAAGAGTAACTATGGACCTATCTCTGTCAAGTTTGAAGTTAAAAGAGAAAGAAATTAGCAG